TCAGTGCCATTGTCAGAGCCTCGATGAGAGGGTTAACAATTTTACCAAAGTTGAATGTAATTAACCATTGTTTAATTTCAAAATTATCCTTAGTGTCTAAGCATTGCCGACGATGGGTCGTACAATACTTTACTAAAATTTTGAAATTATTAAGATTTAATCTAGTGAAATCTGATTATCCTTATCCGATGGGGCTTCAGCGATAATCATTTCACTAATAAACCCACAAATGGAGCCCGCAGGTTTTAAAATTAATTAATTTTTAAAACCTTTACTCATTCAACATTTTTGTTTGAGAATTTTCATAAGCCCAGTCGAATTCATTGTTTAATTTCAAAATTATCTTTAATAACTTAGTATTATCGACGATGGGTCGTACAATACTTTATTAAAATTTTGAAATTATTAAGGCCCAATAAAATCCAATCATACTTATCCGTTGGGGCCTCACATGATTATTTTATTGATAGGCCCACAATGCGCCTGGAGGTTAAATTAATTTCTTAATTTAAATCTTCTCCCATAGATATTTAAGTCCAATCTAATAAAATCCAATCATGTTTATTCGATGGGACTTCACATGATTATTTTATTAATGGTCCTATAATGCGCTTGAAGGTTAAATTAATCTCTTAATTTAAATCTCCTTCCATTCAACATAAGCAACATTTTCTAATTTCCAAAAATTATTTAATTGAGAGTATCCTTTGTTTGATTTCAAAAACTATATAAGTAAGAGCGCCGATAAACGTGCACTAAGCTTAACATAATTTTGAAAGCATTAAGGTCCTGAAATCCGGTCACTTTACGTCAGCGTGTGCTCCAAACAATCATGATACATGAATGTTGTATGCAGCGTGTGTTATTCCATGACCATTTCAGAAAACCCACAAATTACTCGCAAAATAAAAGAATTCTCTTAGGAAATTTTCTCTAATTATTTTTCTAGATTTAAATCATCCAAATAGCTGACTTAATTATTAATCTAGATTGCAACAATCATAATAATTATCATTTATGAGCATAATTTGAAATCAAAATAATTTCCATAACGATTATTTGTCTTAATGTTAATTATCCAAAATTAATTAATTCAATTATTAATCTAGATTTTTAATAAAAATCATAATAATTATTAATTAATTTCTTAGGATGATTTAAAATCAAAATAATCCCATAATAACTATCATACTAGTCGTTGAAGACATAATAGCTATTATGCTCATGCAATCATACAAGTTATGCAACAATATGGCACCACTTATTCTATATGGCACCACCTATTCTATAATGCACTTCTGTTTTGCAAAATTGGACTGCATAGAAAAGCAAGAAGTCATGTGCCTATTTTTCTTTGGTTAGGGACCAACAAGGGCCCCATGCTTTTTGTCAGGGACTAAAAACGTCCTCGTGCATTTTGACAGGGACAAAAATGGCCCTCGTGGTTTTGACAGGGACCAAAACGTCGTCGTCTCGTCTTCCACGGTGTCGCACATCCAAGCCGCGTCAGCAAACTAACGTGCCAACTGTGCACCGTTAGTTCGACCATCAGGTGGGAGTTAACAGAAGGATGAACGTGGCCTCTTTTCTATTATTTCAGGGACCAATTTGTCCCTTTTTTTATTGCTAGGGACTGAAAAGGACTTCGTGGATATTGCTAGGGACTAAAAAGGGTATTTACTAAAAAAAAACTACTTTCCCGTACAAACAATGCAAATGTGGGGTCCATCATTTTTCTTTTATGTTTTCTTCTATCATTTTCTCTCTCCTCATTTTTTTTTTTTTTTTTTTGTAATAAAGAGGGGCAAAAGCCCCAAATCTCTCTCCTCACTTTTGTCTCTATAGTAAAATTACCTGTAACATAATACTTCATAACCCTTTAAGGGGCGTTTGGTAGAGAAAAAAAAGATTTATTCGAGAATCTCAATTTTCAGAAATATGATTTTTACATTCAGTTTATGATAATATCCGAAAATTAAAAATTTAGAAAAATTTAGTTTTGCCGAGATTCCTGAAAAATACCACGTACCAAACGCCCCCTTAAGTAATAAAAGAACCATTGTTCATTAATATGAAATTAACCCAATTGTAATTTTGATGTTTTAATACAAATATTAACTTCTGGAAAAAAATAAGATTTGCTCGATTGTGTTCTAATTTTTTTTATCTTAAATTTGTTTTGTAGAATAGTTAATAAAATAGGTATTTTAATATATTTTTCTAAGTTAAAAGTCAAAACACAAAATAAAAATAACTCAAATATATTTTTTAAATTTGATTCCAAAAAAAAATATATATATTTACAATTTATAAAACCTATTTTACAAAACAAACCTTACCAAACAGATTTTTTTATTTTGAAAATCAAAAAACTGCTTTTCGAAACATATTTCAAATAGGCTCATTGTTATCACCCGTATAATTCATTATATTTACTTAACTAAAAAAATTCATAATTTCGAATAACTTTCAAGTTTATTGCCATGATTTTTGTTATTAAATTAACTTTTGGGTATGGTCACCAAAAAAAAAAAATTAACTTTTGGGTAGATTTTTTCCCCTTAAAAGAAGTTAAAGCGTTCAGCCAATCACAGACTCGTTTTATGACCGAGTGAGCTGCACATTTGAAAACAAACCGGTAGATTAGATTAAGGGACATAAAACTATATTACCCGCATTTAAATGCGCTATACTGTTCTTTATATGGTCAAAAGAAGAACGGCAGTAAGCTATGTTGCAGATGATATGAGTGATAAAACAGTGCTTAAGAGGATAAATAAGCAGGACTCTAGCTTCATATCCATTATCATGAATGGCGAGCAGCAACAAAGTGCATGTCTTTAATAGTGTAACAGCCTCCTCGAAGGAAAAGGGAACAGTTTAATCCATGCATCCATCTCATCCTATAATAATGAGGGCATGTTTGGTGTGATGCATAAGGTTTGATAGTATAAGCTTATATTATACGTTATGACATTTTCAGTTATTTGATACGACTATCGTATAGTATAAGCTTATACAACAGAACCCCTTAATACATCAAAATGATGTATAACTTAATCAGGCCTAACGGGGTATGATTAGACCTGATAAGGGGTTAATGTATTAATATTACTTACAAATACAATTCTCAAGAACTAATATATCATTTCAATATTAATATATTAAAATAATTTTTTTTAATATACTAATTTTTAAAATATTGGAGAATATTATCTTATACAATAATATATCAAACGTTGAATAATATTAAAATTTAATTAGATCTTATACTATCAGATCTTATACTATTGATAACACTCCCAAATGAGAGTTAATTTATTACTTTTATGATGAATTTGTTGCATAAATTCCATATAAGTTAACCGCTTTGCATGATAATTGAGCTAATTATTGTATATTTATGATTAAATGCTTTGAGATGACTAAGTATGGAAAATAAGACAATATCCCTTGATTTTGTGTAAGAAAAGATGACTTGTTGAATGTTTGTCTTCGCAGGAAAAATTGACGTAGGAATGCTGTAGCAGAAAAGCTGACGGAGTAATGACATAGCATGAGCTACAGCATGACAGCGTGGACAAAGGGACAACCGAACTTTTGAATTTCAAAAGTTAGTTATTCTCCAACCATACACCAGCAAGCAAGAGACGTTTCTAAAGATTTAATCTTATCCCAAAATCACAACAACCTTGGATCAACATTGGACGATTTCAAAGATTGGACGATTTATCCCAAAATCCCAAAGAACAAGGACAACAAACTCTTGTTCGATCAACAACAATATCAAGAAGATTAAGATCTTATCCAATCAAGTGCCAACAACCCAAGAATTTAGGGATAACATAAGGCTGCAGCAATCGGATTCATGAATCTCCACTCTTAATTCCTAAAGCCCAAAGCCCAACCATTTTTCCTATTTAAGAAGAGCTCCTCCACGAGAGAGAAACAGTTCGAAACACAGTTAGAGAGGTTCAAGGTTCAGAAGGTCAGAAGTAAGGAGGAGAGTTTTAGAGGGAGATAGTGAGGTTCTTGGAAGAGGAAGAGCAGCGCTGGAGCAGTGCTGGAGCAAGGCAGTGACGACGTCTTCCTACTGCAATTGTTTTCAACTTCTTTTCTGTTTTCCAATGAATTCTTTCTTTCTTTTCCCTGTTTTATTTAATTCCATTATGAGCTAATTTGCTCCATAGGTTAGGTGATAAAGTACCTATTTTGTAACATTGATATGTATGCCTAAACTTTGTTTATGTTAATGTTTAATTAGTTATTCAACGAGTTTGCTTAATCTTATTCATGTGTGCATGTCGAGAGATACATATGTGATATTGAGGAGGTTGGGGCCGAGAGGTTTCCGAATCCAGACCCTTGTTGAATAGTGTGGATTAATCGAGTTAAATTAACTTAATTAAGTTGTGGGTAGAGAGATCATTCACACCACATAACCTAGAACTTGAACTTAAACAATTCAGTGATTAGTTTGGCCATAGAGATGTGGGAATTAGTTATTGGGTATATATGTTAGGTTGGCCAAAAGCTCCAGCATACATTAGTGTTTGGTTACTAGTTAAACATCGATATAGCATTGTTAAAGCATCAGATCAGTATTGCTGTATCAGGGAAATTGATCCTGACCTATATCTCATCCATCATCTTAATACCTATTATTTTAGTTTCTTGTTTTCTTATTATTAGTTGTCTTTTATTTTACAAAACCAACAATCATAATCAATCACTTTACTCACTTTCTTCACCTAAATAATCATTACTTGACACTTATCTCCGTGGGAACGATACTTGGACTCACACATCCCTTTATTACTTGTGACACGTGCACTTGCGTATTTGTGTGGAAGATTTAAATTGATTACAAATTGCACAACAAGTTTTTGGCGCCGTTGCCGGGGATAAGTACAAAGTTATTTTTATTTCGGTAGAGAATTTTATTTCTTTTACATCCTTTACCTTTCCCCTTACTGTTTTCAAGGTGTTAATTGCAGCATATGAGCAGTTCTTCATCAGAGCAAGAAGCAGATTTTGATCCTGAGATTGAAAGAACGTTTCGAGCAAGAAGGAGACAGCAAAGACGTATCAATCCTACAGCAACACCTAACATGGACGCAAGGTTGGGAAACGGTGAAGAGGAAGGACCTGGACAAAACAATGGAGGTCCAAATCAGGCTGAGATTCCAATCAGAGCACATGCAATTCCTACGCTCAACAATCTGCATTCTGGAATCGTTCAACCTGATGTAGCAGCAGAGAATTTTGAGCTGAAGCCAGTGATGTTTCACATGCTACAGACCATTGGTCAATTCAATGGACTGCCTACTGAAGACCCTCACCTTCACCTCCAGAATTTTATTGATGTAGCAGACACTTTCAAAATAAGAGGAGTTACATCTGATGCGCTAAAGATGAAGCTGTTCCCATATTCCCTCACCAACAAAGCTAAAGCATGGTTGAATTCTTTACAACCACAGTCAATCCGAAGTTGGGAGGAGTTGGCGGACAAGTTTTTACTGAAGTTCTTCCCTCCTATGAAGGCAACCCAATACAGGAATGATATATCAACCTTCAAGCAATTGCAAGACGAATCATTTTATGAAGCTTGGGAGAAATTCAAAGATCTGTTGAGGAAGTGCCCAAATCATGGCATTCCCGAATGGATTCAAATGGAGACATTCTATAATGGGCTCAATGGACCAACAAAAGGCATGGTTGATGCATCATCTGGAGGAGCCCTATTAGAAAAAACATATACAGAAGCATATGCAATATTGGAGAGGATGGCAGTCAACAACTATCAGTGGCCCGTAGAAAGATCAAGTTTAATACAAAAAAAAGCTGTTGGAGTTTGGGAACTGGATGCTGTATCAGCACTGTCAGCACAGATTTCAGCTCTTAACAACTCTATCAAGACGATGAGTCTGTCTGCTGAAGCTAAACCAGTCAATGCCCTCACTGATGCTATATCATGTGTTTTCTGTAATGGTCCCCATATCTATGATAACTGTCCACAAAACCCTCAATCTGTTTGTTTTATAGGAAATTTCAACAGGAACAACAATCCATATTCAAATACCTATAATCCCGGATGGAGGAATCACCCGAATCTTTCCTATTCACAAGGACAGCATCATGGACAGCAGCAAGGACAACAACAATTGTCCTCAGACACAGCAGGAAGGTCATATAAAGCTCCATATCCTCCCGGATTCACGCAACAACAGCATCAATCCAGACAGCACACTGATACATCAAATATGCTGGAAGGCATGCTGAAGGATTACATGACAAGGAGTGATGCTATAATTCATAATCAAGCTGCATCAATCAAGAATTTGGAGACTCAAGTAGGTCAATTGGCAGAAGCACTCAGAAGCAGACCTCAAGGAACTTTGCCAAGCAACACTGAAGTCCCAAAGAAAAATGGAGCAGAGCAAGTCAATGCTATATCACTGCGGAGTGGTAAGGCCGTAGATGAACCAGAAGTCATAAAGAACTACCACGAGCAGAAACAGAAAGCATTGGACCAGGTTGAAGAAGGGAAAGTTGCCGAAGAGGTGGAAACTAATGATCAACCCAAAGAACCTCAAGTTGCTGGCACTGAGAGTATTGCTACATCAAAGCCACAGCAAGGTCAGACTGTCAGCAAGGCAACAAGGCCACCACCACCCTTTCCTCAAAGATTGCAGAAGAAAACTGATGACAAGCAGTACAAGAAATTCCTTGACGTCCTCAAACAGTTGCACATTAATGTACCCTTGGTTGAAGCTCTTGAGCAAATGCCAAGTTATGCAAAATTCATGAAGGACATCTTGGCAAAGAAGAGGAAGCTGGAGGAATATGAGACAGTAGCTCTCACCCAAGAAAGTAGTCAATACTACCTCAACAAATTACCACCAAAGCTAAAAGATCCAGGGAGTTTTACTATTCCTTGTACTATTGGTAACCAATACGTAGGCAATGCATTACTAGATCTAGGTTCCAGTATTAACCTTATGCCTAAGAGTATTTTCAGGAAACTTGGAATAGGAGAAGCACGTCCAACTACTGTCACGTTGTTGATGGCTGATAGATCAATAACTCATCCAGAAGGAAAAATTGAAGATGTATTGGTAAGAGTGGATAAGTTCATTTTTCCCGCTGACTTTATTGTTCTTGACTTTGAAGCAGATAGGGAAGTGCCCATCATTTTGGGAAGAGCATTCTTAGCCACTGGACGAGCATTAATTGATGTTGAAAAGGGAGACTTGACCATGCGAGTAAATGATGAGCAAGTCACGTTCAACGTACTCAAAGCCATGAAGTATCCTGAACAAGTGGAAGAATGTGCTAGCATAGACACCCTTGACGCAGTTCTGCTACAGCAACTTAAGCAGCAAACAGAAGCAGACCCATTGAATGTTGCTATAGCAGAGGAATGTGCAGAAGATGAAGAGGAAATACAAGAGTGCCTTGCATGGATGAATTCCCAACCAGTAAGGCCTTACAAAGAGAAACACTTTGAATCTCTTGGAGAAAGAGCGATAAAGACGCTCAAACCATCCATCGAAGAATCTCCGATCCTTGAGCTCAAACCACTACCCCAGCATCTGAAATATGCGTTCCTAGGAGATGAAAATACTTTACCTGTTATTATCTCATCTTTTCTCTCTGATGCAGAAGCTGAGCAGTTACTACTAATTCTAAAGGAGCACAAAAGAGCACTCGGATGGAGCATTGCAGATATAAAAGGAATCAGCCCTACATTCTGCACACACAAAATATTGCTGCAGGAAGGCTACAGCAGTACTGTCCAGCCTCAAAGAAGGCTGAATCCTATGATGAAAGAAGTTGTCAAGAAAGAAGTGATTAAATGGCTTGATGCAGGGATAATATATCCCATCTCAGATAGCCAATGGATAAGTCCTGTGCAATGTGTACCAAAGAAAGGAGGGATCACAGTTGTGAAGAATGAGAAAAATGAGCTTATACCAACAAGAACCGTGACCGGATGGAGAATATGCCAGGACTATAGGAAGCTTAATGATGCCACAAGAAAAGACCACTTCCCCCTGCCATTCATTGACCAAATGTTGGACAGGCTAGCAGGGAAGGAGTTCTATTGCTTCCTAGATGGATATTCGGGCTACAACCAGATTGCTGTAGCACCAGAAGATCAAGACAAGACCACATTTACTTGCCCATATGGAACATTTGCCTTTAGAAGGATGCCATTTGGATTATGCAATGCTCCAGCAACCTTCCAAAGGTGTATGATGGCAATATTCACAGATATGGTGGAGAATTTTGTGGAAATATTCATGGATGATTTCTCAGTCTTTGGAGAATCATTTAAATCTTGTCTTGAGAATTTATCAAAGGTACTCAAGAGATGTGAAGAGACTAACCTAGTGTTGAATTGGGAGAAATGCCATTTCATGGTCAAAGAAGGTATAGTCTTGGGTCACAAAGTATCAAAAGAAGGATTAGAAGTGGATAGAGCAAAGATATCCACGATTGAAAAGCTGCCCATACCCATTAATGTCAAGGGAATCAGAAGCTTTTTGGGACATGCTGGATTCTATAGGAGGTTCATCAAGGACTTCTCAAAAATTTCCAGACCGCTATGCAGATTGCTAGAACAGGACACCCCATTCATAGTTGATGATCAATGCAAGGCAGCATTTGAAGAATTGAAGCAGAAGCTTGTTACAGCACCCATAATTGTTGCACCCGATTGGACTGCACCATTTGAAATCATGTGTGATGCTAGCGAATGTGCCATTGGTGCAGTGCTAGGTCAAAGAAAAAATAGGATGTTCCATCCTATCTATTATGCTAGCAAAACACTTACAGGGGCACAATTTAATTATACAGTCACTGAAAAAGAACTTTTATCTGTTGTTTTTGCATTTGAAAAGTTCAGATCTTATTTATTTGGTGCTAAAGTGACTGTTTTTACTGACCATGCAGCCATTAAATACTTGGTGGACAAAAAGGATTCCAAACCAAGATTGATACGGTGGATTCTTTTACTTCAAGAGTTTGACTTGGAGATTAAAGATAAAAAAGGCACAGAGAACCAAGTTGCAGACCACCTATCCAGGCTGGATGATGGAAGGTCAGAAGTAGATGAAGAACCAGTGAAGGATGAATTCCCAGATGAACAGCTGTTTGCTATCGACTATGCTATAGCACCATGGTACGCTGATATAGCAAACTTTCTGGCGAGTGGAATAATGCCAAATCATAAGAACTCACAGCAAAGAAAGAGGTTCATCCATGATTGTAAGTACTATCTTTGGGATGAACCATACTTATTTAAGAGAGGCCCTGATCAAATCTTGAGAAGATGTGTACCGGAAGAGGAGATGCAATCTATACTTGAACATTGTCACTCATCTCCCTATGGTGGCCACTATGCTGGAGTCAGAACAGCAGCAAAGGTGCTGCAATCAGGTTTTTACTGGCCTTCTTTATTTAAAGACTCACATACTTTTGTTTCAAGTTGTGATAGGTGCCAAAGAACTGGAAATGTATCAAAGAGACATGAAATGCCTCTCAACCCTATCTTGGAAGTTGAACTATTTGACGTTTGGGGGCTAGATTTCATGGGACCATTCCCACCTTCATTTGGAAATCAATACATTTTGGTGGCAGTGGACTACGTCTCTAAATGGGTAGAAGCAGCAGCATTACCCACCAATGACTCCAAAGTGGTTTGGAAGTTCCTTAAAAAGAATATCTTCACAAGGTTTGGCACACCAAGAGCAATCATAAGTGATGAAGGAAGCCATTTCTGCAGCAAGCAATTTGAACACCTTCTGACCAAATATGGAGTAAAGCACAAGATTGCTACAACATACCACCCCCAGACCAGTAGGCAAGTTGAAGTGTCCAATAGAGAAATCAAAAGGATCTTGGAGAAGGTGGTAAATCCTTCGAGGAAGGACTGGTCATTCAGATTGGATGACTCATTATGGGCATATAGGACTGCCTATAAAACAGCATTAGGTGCATCCCCATACAGAATTGTCTATGGCAAGGCATGCCACCTACCTGTTGAGTTAGAACATAAGGCATACTGGGCTATATCAAAGCTGAATTTGGATGAACAAGCAGCTGGACAGAAAAGAATGCTACAGCTAAATGAACTGGAAGAATTCAGAATGAATGCATATGAAAATGCCAAACTTTACAAGGAAAATATGAAGAAATGGCATGATAACAAGATCCTTCCAAGGGTATTTGAGCAAGGTCAGCAAGTCCTTCTATTTAACTCAAGGCTCAAGCTCTTTCCAGGCAAGCTTAAATCAAGGTGGACAGGACCTTTTAAGGTTGCACATGTGTATCCCCATGGAGCTATTGAAATTACGAATGAAAAAGATGGGAGCACGTTTAAGGTTAATGGACAAAGGCTGAAGCACTATTGGGGAGATCAAAATGTCAAGGAGACAACTATTATCTCCTTGACTGAGCCGAGTTGAGTCCAAAGAGAAGAAGTCAGGCTGAAGACTATAACACAAGCGCTCTTGGGAGGCAGCCCAAAATTTAATTAGGAAGTTCTTAATTTAAATGAATTTTAATTTCAGTATTTTAAATTATTGCAATTTCATACTTTCGATTATTAGAATTAGGATAAATTAGCTTCATGTTCTTTTAATTTTTAATTTTTAAGATGTTTTGCAGGGAGAAAAATGGTGTTGATGCCCATTAAAAATAAAAATCAGGAACCAGGCTATGACACAAGGTTGTGGAAAAATCAGGCAGACCCATATCATTTGGGTTAGAGTAAAAGAATCGGGCCAAGCAAGCATTGGGCCCAATTCAGACGCAACAATTAAAGTCAAGGAGATGTACAGCAAGCCCAACGGTAATTTAATCAGAAGCTGCCACATCACCCCTGACGCTGTAACAATGCAACGGTTAAAAATTCAAGGAAGGGATGAAACGGCACAGCTGTCAGAATCTTGATACAGCACCGTCCAAATTCATCCATCCATCAACAATGAACCGTTGTGACCCCTTGCGTCTTTTTCTACCCAATATAAAAGCCAGGTTCCATATTTTTTACCTCCATTATCGTGTGTTCAATTTTTTTTGAGTAAAAAAAAAAATTTCTCTCTTCCAACTTCATCTCCAAGAACAGTCTTGCAAGAACTCAAGCCACAGCAAAGGCTTGAGTTTGGAGTCCCCCAACCTCTTTTCTTTCTTTCACCCGAGGCAACCAAACTGAGTTTGGAGTGGAGCAATGGAGACCCCAAGCACCCGAAGTGGAAAAATTAGGGCAAGACCCGGTGGGAGCAGCTCTCAATCAGAACCGGTCCCCTCTTTCTCCACCGAGCGAGCAATGCAAAGGCATGAGATCATGCTCAAGCGGACACCATCACCAGACAAGGGCTTTGTCAAGGAATCTCTTGACTCTAATTCATACCCTTCCTATATTTCGGTCATCATCGAGGCTCACCAGTGGAAGACTTTTTGTCTACATGAGCAAGATGGTGTACTCCCCATCATCTGAGAGTTCTATGCCAACATGGCCCAAGGAAGACCTTCGAAGGTGGAAGTGAGAGGGAGGGTTGTACCATTCAGTGCTGCAGCTATCAGAAAGATTTATGATCTGCCCAAGGTTGTAGACGAGTTTTATGACTGGAAGAACACATCCGAACAAGAAAATTTACAAGAAGTGCTGGAAGAATGTTGTAGGACAGGGACCGAGTGGACCGTGACACCCCAACAGCATATGTCCTTTTCAAGAACCACGCTCAAGCCCAAAGCTAGAGTGTGGTATCATTTTCTGAAAAATAGACGGATGCCCACGTCTCACACTGAGACAGTATCAAAGGATAGAGCAGTTCTGCTCCGTTGTCTGTTGGATGGAAGGCCTATTGACGTAGGCCGAATTATTCATTCTGAAATCTTGGCTTGTGCCAAGGCTGACAGTGGTTATTTGTGGTTTCCAGGTTTGATAACTCGTTTATGCAGGGAAGCCAAAGTGCCAATTGGAGAGGAAGAGGAGAAAATCAAAATGAATGGAGAAATCTCCCCTGCTGCTGCAAAGAGAATATCAAAGAAGGCTGAAGAGTTAGCACAAGGCAGTGCTACTGCAACTCCTCAGAAAATTGATGACACAGCACCACCTGCTGAAGGTGCTGAATCATGGGAGAGGATTGATAAGAGGCTGAATAAAATAGAGAAAGACCAACTGGAGACAAGGAAACTTGTGATGAACAAGTTGAAAGAAATGGACAAATTCATTTTAGGCCAGTTGGGGTTCCTCAACTATGCACCTCCAGCCTCAGATGCAGCAATGCCGATGCAGCAAGGGAGTGATGATGAAGAAGAAGAAGAAGAAGAAGGGAAGAGGAGGTTGAGCAAAAAGACGAAAATATGGAAGACAACCCCTCGGACCAAGAAGAGCAAGATGAAGACTAGATCATAACTTGTAATAGTTTTGATTTAGAAGAAAAATATCTAGGTTATATTGCTCTTTTATTTTTCTTTTTTGCTACATATGTAATCCCCTGCATCACTTAGAAAATTAATGAAAAAGAGGAACATGTTTGCTAATTAGATAGTTAGATTCAGTAAGTTTAATTTCTGTTTTGTATGAATAAAAGAAGTTAGGTATATGTTACAGCATGAAATTAAGAAAAGAGTTGAAGGAATAGCCTCGATAAGGGTAACAAGAAGTTAGAAACTAATGCTGCATCAAAAAGGTGAAACAGATTGCATCCTTAGCTATGTTGTTATGATCCCTTTGGCTGTAGCAGGATG